CCCCCCCCCCCCTCCCACCCCACCCACCTCTTCTGGGTCCCTGTCGTCTTTCTGTATGTGGTATGTGAATGCGAGATACATCAACAGGCCGGAGACCGCCGCAATGATCATCAGCACCAGCTGCTCTAGCCTGCAGTACACACGGTGCGGATCACACCGTGTGTAAGGACAACACAATCATCAGGGACAGATCGATCGGCCAGAGAGTTCTTGGCTTCCACATCCATCCATCCAGGCGTACCAACCATAGTTTGCGGCAGTCGAAAATAGTTCCCTGCTTCATGATGAAGACCAACAGGGACACTATCCGACCCATGTCATACCTGCACACACAACACACACAGACACCACACCACAACAGGTAGGGACTCTACATAGACAAACAGATCAATCAGGTGTCCCTCCCTCCCTCCCGCCTCGACCACAGCGCGTGCATCCACACCTGACAATTTTGCCTTCAACGAGTTCGGCCCCTGCAGTCCACCGCCTCTCATTCCTGCACATCAGGCACATCAGGCACATCAGGCAGGCACATGAAGGCAGAGAAGAGCAGTCAGTCACGAACACGACACGCAACACACACAGATCCATAACGAACAATGCTGCCATGCCATGCCTTCCTTGGTGCGGTTGCTGTGTGTGTGTTACTTTACTTCAATGATCCCGTCTTGCTGTGGATGAGCCGCTCCTCCTCGTCGTGAACCGCCCCGTCAGTCCCTGTAGCGAACTCACTCTTGATGTCCGCCTCCGCGATCGTCGCATCACGACCGACCTCACTCTCCATCTTTCTGCTCCTAAGGGTTTAGCTAAGTTGCACCAGTTCGAATCTCAAGAACTCCTCAAGAACTCCTCGGAAGTGAGCAGTTTCACGGAATGTCCTAGGCGGCCCACGGTGAAACGCAAGACTCGCAGTTCAAACTTGCGAACGGTGAGGGCCCGTTGGTTGAGTCACCGTTATCGTGATTCATTGGTTCATGGGTCATTTCATCCATCAGTCACTGCAAACTGTCACATTGTGGATGCAGATGGGACTGTCGGCATGGTATAAGCACTTGGTGCCACGTGAGGCGAGGCGTACAGGCATACAAAACTGTCAAAAAACCCTCTGACGCCC